TAAAATGCGATAGATACCTCAGTTTTTTAAGGGAGGACAGAAACCTAGTTATGGCTCATAGAATAACCTGCATCATTGTTGCAGGTTTTATAAAGATATATATATAATATATATATAAATATAAATTTATAAATTTATAAAGAAATATAAAGAAAATTCTTTATAAAAAAATTTATAAAGAAATTGTACCAAATGGTACCAGTGGTCAAACAGCAGCTCTGGCAACTTTGGGCCTTAATGATAGTGCTCAGCCCTATTGGAGTCTGAGGCATAAGGAAAGGGAATACCGATCCTGCCTTTATTTAAAATTCTGATGTTTTGTTCACCATAGATGTTTTTGCATTAATTTTATATTTACAAAATGTTGCACTATAACATTATCCTGATTACTGATTTTCTGGCACTCCCTTAAATTTTGCACCGAAGAGTGCATTCACTTCACTCTCGTCCTGGCCCTGCTTACAAAGTCACCTCCCTGAAACTTCACGACCCCATCTGTAAAAACGAGGCAATAATCATCAAGATTACGGTAAGGACTGAGATGACGTGTGTAAGAACTTGTTAATCGTACATGTGAACATGTAAATACGTTTACAAAGCACTATGCAACTCCAAGATGAAGTTATTATATTATACATTCTATTTAAAGATGTAAGGTTTATGGAAAGCGGAAGTCCCATGATTGATGACAAAAATCTATCCCAGGCCTTGGAGGGATATGCAGCATTTAAGACACACCCATCGCTACCTAACCTTACTTAAATAAAGAAAAAGGTACACAATTACAGCCCGAGCAAGCAATTTCCTCTCCAGCTTTCATAATTAATCTTCATTTGTAAATTCAGTCTGTCTTCAGATTTTCTCTTTTCAGTTCCTAAAAGCATTCAATTCAACGCAAATGAAAAATTAATTTAGGAAGAAACTGTTTTCCTCTTAAAAAAATAAAATCACAGCTCAGACAACACAGGTGAAAGCCTACGAATAGATGCACCGCATATGAAAATTATTTTTGAAAAAGTTGAGGACGTAAACCTTTTGATTCAAGGTAGGGGGATCTTTCTAGGCCCAAGGAAGGTGAGATGCCTCCTGTTCTCGTGGACTAATGATTGTTTCCAAGCTGGTTAGAATTCAGTGCTAATTGCATTTTAAAACACCACCTCTGATATCCTTTCCTCTCTCAGGATCTTACATCAATGTTTCGCATTTTCAATAAAACCTTTTGCACTTCACCTTTTTTACTCAACAAATCCTGAACTTTGGATCAGCTGGAAGAATTTGGTTCAGAGGCTTTCCTTTCCCTAGCAGGTTTCGATCTGGTGGTGGGGATGCTAACACCTGGGAAAGGCTGTCTTGCCCGTTTCTGAGGGGAGAGAGACGACTAAAATAGGTATTTTGGTGGCTAAACTCAGGCTTGCCCATTCTAACACAGTCATTAAACAACTTTCTAGTGTCATTCAAAGAACTTATAACAGAATCAATTGATTTTCATCCTCTGCTTTATTAGTTGTGATTTAGGAGATAGAATGGCCCTGTTTACACAGCTGTAACATGTCAGGACCTGTAGTACATTATTGGCTCGAGGCCTCCGAGTTACAGTCCATTCTCAGCAGAATCAATCTGAACTCGCAAAACATTCCCTCTAGGAAACATGCACAGATCTACTAGCATAAAGCACTTCTTGTACAACTGGAAATAGTATTCACTTGAGGTAAGTTGCAAGTTCACCTTCCAAAAATCAGCCCTGACTTGTCATTGCTCTCAGCATGTTCACGATGGGAGCAGAGGGCTACACATGCCTCTTAACTAGATACCCAACATGGGTGAATGTGTTACACTTTGCTGCTAGTCCGGGCTCAGACTCTCCAAGTGGGAGTTGCTGGCTGTTTAACATGCGTTCAGAGCATTGCCAATCTAAAATGGCTGCTCAGTAATACTTTAATTGCAGTTTCATGGAAACAAATTGCTATTTAACTGCAATAAGCATTTCTGTGACTTGGCTGGACTGACAATAGGTGAGCCTTAGTAACAAAGTGACAACTAACATCAACTTGCAAAGGCTCTGTGTTTCCAACAGTCTCTCAAAGGGAGTCATAGGTGCACTAGCACCCAGGAGGTAATTCACAGGTGAAGGAGTCTTTGGACAACCTCTTCTCTCTTTAAATACAACTATTTAGGTTACAGGGAAACTCTTTATTAGTGCCTTGATATATAGCTCTTGGACTCACTGTTGTATAATTTATTGGCCCTAAGAAAATATTTTATATAAATAGTAGTACACATTAGAATCTTACTCTATTGACATTTAAAGCCATTTAATTTAAGAGCTTCATTCTAGATGATTAGTTGTTTCAAATATCAGTGTTAATAAGAGCAAAAGAAAGAACTTAAATACAGTTAATAGTAAGAGGATGACAATTTCACAGGCTTCATTTTGGTGTGACAGTTTTCTCATTTTATATTTTATAAGACACTACAGTCCATGTTAAACTATTTCCTAATAAATCATGAAGAGCTGGAAGTAGTTCCTTGTGGCAAACGATTTGGTTTAGAAAAGCTTCATCCGGGCTCTCCTGCCTTTCGGGGTGTGTAAATCTAACTAGACAGATAGGTTAAATATATATATATAAAAAAAAAACAATAATAAAAAAAATAAAAAAACATTAAACCCTTTCAGAGGACAATCTTTTTACAAAATTGTTTCATTAGCAAGAGTGACAATTTGCATGATTGAGACATTTATATGTATCATAAACATTTTTTTTTAATCAGGAGTTCAGCAGGGCTCAGTAACATTTGCTTTTATTTAATTGCACTTGCTTGTAGGGATTGGGGGCCATCTTGCTCTATGATGTGGTTAATATTAAATAAGTCCTTTCAAAAGAATGGAGCACATCTCACTAACATCGCAAATGCAATGGATGAAAGGTGAACAAGCTCGTGGATTTTTTTTTTTTTTTTCTTCTAAGCCATGTTGGGGTTGGGGGAGGAACACAATCACCGCTCACATCAGAATAAACCTGAGTGTTTTTAGGAGCTTTCTATCCACACAGAGCATCCCCATTAGAGCCGGGTTTTATTGTTTGAAATGCCTCTGGTTTCAAGAAAGTGTTTTACCTAAAGCAAGACTACTACTTAAATATGTTCTATTGTATATTCATAGCTCCATTAGTCCTTCTCCAATTTAGCACATCAAAGAGAAGGCTTCATCACTTGCATGTGGATTATACTAACATGAGTGACATTTGTAATCTTATAGGTCTGCAACTTAAGAAATGCTTTTAGAAGCTCGTTATTAAATATGCAGCAGTGCTTGAGGAACCAGCCATATAATAGTTCATTTAAAGTCTTTAATGACCTGAGCCCTCCACATCACCAAATGCCACACTGTATTACTTACTAAAAGTTATTAACTATCCCCTTTGAATTTCTGCACTATATGGGACATGAGTGCTTACGCCAAAAAGAATAGAGGGGATGCTGGTATTCTTATTAACACTCCCCCTTTCTATGCTGAAGAGTCCACATTCCTTTAAAGCAGCTTAAAGGGGGTGGGGGGATGTAAGAACCAGAACTAGTCCCTAGAAATTCCCCCAGGATTTAACTCAAACAGATACTGTTACGTCTGTGATTTTGTTCATTTTTTTTTCTTGCATTTTCTTTTCATAAAGCTCTAATAGAACTATTCACTTTAACTCTCTACCTTTAAATTCTCCTACAGGAGGTTCACAGGAGCTTTGCAGTTGGAGCAACTGATTTTTCCTCCTGGCCTGCAGTCTTTGAAAGCAGAAGATCCCAAAGGGAAACAGACTGCTGGTTGAAATGTACTGAACTGGACCTCTCTATGTAACCTGTTCTGAGAGGTCTACGTTGGGAGCTTTTCGGGAACAAGAGAAAATAAAACAAATGCCATTTTTAGAAAGAATATTTCAAGTAGCATTATAAACACACCTGGTTTTTTTATGAACCTGTGATACAAACTGTACCAGAGATCTGCTCGCAAACCTGGCACAGCAGCCTCTTTGGTCTTTCCTAACACTGACCATGGGCCACCAAGTCCTTGGCCTACGCACGCTTTCCACAGGGCGCCACTGGGGTGCTGGGTCTGCTGCCCAGAACTAGCAACTAAATATCTCAAGATTACTACTAAGTGAAATCGAAATCCTACCCCAAACATATGGAAAGGCAGAGCGAGGAGCGTAAGAGCAAAACAAAATAAACAAATCATACAGCAGACCACAGGAGTCTAAAAGCTCACCAGGAAATGGTGGCTCCACCCACTGAAGTCGGCTGTCAAAGAGCTCTGGGTCCCTAACAACTAAGGAAACTTCAAAATGCGTACAGGTATGGCTTAGAAATGCTATTTCCTTCAAAAGCTATAAACTCGGTTAAGAGAACAAGACGGTTATGCCACATTCTTTAGCATGCTTTTCGCCAATACCCAAGGCTTTCCTATTGAGAAAAATGAATCAACGGAATAGCTGAAGAATCAAACAAATATTTATATATAAACACAAAAGATTCACTGTGATATAGGAGAAGTGTAATGAAGTGCTTAAGTTACCAGAATATTCTGAACTTATAAAAAGGACTCCGTTAGAAACATTGCTTTGTAGCCCTGCCAAAAATGGCATGGTTAAGTAATTTGAAAAAAACCTTATTGGCCCAGAGCTAAATAAACACACACACCACACCTCCCTTGACCCTTAAGATTTAGAGTGAAGTTGGTATCAAACAAACAAACAAAAACTACTAAATTTTTCCAAAATACAACGAAGAGAAAAAGCAGTGTTTAAATCCAAACTCCATCGAATATTTTTTCTTTTAAGTTTTTATTATTTAAATACACCATACTAGAGCAAATGTCTCTGAAAATATCACAAATAAAAGATTTTTTTCTTCATTCAGCAAATTAGAAGTAGGGGGAAATTTCTACACAGTAGCTGCTATGAGCCTGATTTTTTTTTTTTCCAATTTTTTTCTTTTTTTTTTTTTTTCATTCTTTTTTTCTTTTCTTTGCCATGGAAGTAGCAACATTAGGACAAGAACACTTACATGCATACATACATTGTATTTTACAGAGATACAATAAAAGTGTTTGTGATAGAATATCACAAAAGCCACATCTCTTTCCTTTATCTCATGTTCAGTTTTGATTGAAACACATTTCCTTACAACACTTAAATATACAAAGAGCAAATAGAATGTTGTTAAGGTAAAACACAGGGTACAAACTCTGGCCAGTGCCCTGCTAATTGTTAATGAGGGTAGAAAGCAGATTTGAATGCTTCTTTTAATTAGCTTCATTAGTCATTTCCCTCCTCCCAAGCTCCCTCCCCCCCCAAAGATGTCCTCCGGTGGATCTTTTTTCATTTTCTCTACAGTCTCCCCATTAGCCCAGGTTCATGGAGTCCTTAATGTTCATATTCAGTCATTTTAATACACCAATAAATGCGGGAAGGGCAGTCAAGACTAAAGAAGGTGCAATGGCATGGAGCTGGCACTGGTGCTAGCTACAAAGGTGACCTGTCTACTGAAGACACATGGGATCCACCTGTGATGAACAAAGTCTGAGATGAAGGCACGCATTCTGCATTACTCTGACCTTTTAGCAGACCTGCAAGAAATAAAAACGGGCATCTTAGCTAAAATGCTAAATTTGAGATATTAAACTCAAACATGACTGCTTTTGTCTTCTCTACATTCACTAATCTTCTTTTATTAGATTACTTTCCAACTGTGACTTGATGGAGGCTTTCTACGCTACTTACTCCGGCAGTGAAGAGCTAAAGCATAACGTTTTCTGCAGTTTCACTAGCAGAGAAAATGAGACAATAAATGGACTTTCAGAAAGTTTCTAGTATAAAGTTCTACAATGAATTGCTTAACCCTCTTAAAAGCAACTTTCTTTCTGAAAAGAATGAACTGCAACATCTTGCCTCAGTTATAGTCTCTTAAATGCACCTTCGGAGCCCAGTCCTCCCCAAGGAAGTTTTGGGCTAATGTGCTCAACCGCAGGACCTTTGGCAAGGTTACTTTGTGCCTCAGTTTCCTCATGGTTAAAGTGGGGATAATAAGGCTGTTACAAGGATTACATCATACGTATGGGACACTTTCAACAGTGCCTGGCACATAATAAAAGCTAAACAAACACTGGTAATTATTATTCTGATATCCTCATATGATGTCTATTCATCCATGTCCTTCTCAACCTAAAGGTATGTGTTTGTACACGTGGGTATATATATCTATGTATACAGACAGATACAGATATAGGTTAGGTATATATATATATATCTACATATGTATACACACACACACACACACACACACACACACGCACATACCATACAAATATTCAGATACTACTTCTCCCTTAGTATTTCCTATCTATGTCACTTAATATTACATAAATATTGTAAATACATGAATCAAACATGTAATGTGTTAATGACTTATGCTCAATTAAAAAACATAGTTCAATGGAAGTCTAACTTTAACGTCTAAGTTAGAAATGATAATCCACACGGTCGTCAAATACAATCTGTTTGCAATTACCAAAATGAAATAATATATATTAGGTTTTTATGGTTTTTAAATGACATTTCGAGCTTCCCAGGAAGTTCTTGTTTCACCCTTTCCCTAACTTACTAAAAGCCTGAAGTCTATTAGGAACTGCAACCCCCCACTTCCAAGCTAATTAAAGTGGTGGAGGCTTAATTCCCCAGAGTGGAAGCTCAGTGTGAGAAAGGTAATTTGTCTGTCCAGAACAAAGATGCAGCAGCAGCCAGCGAGCATATTTAATAAATGAGCATCAAATGTCCTCTACGATGGACACACACAACACCAATTATGTAACTACGGGGACTACGAAGTGATATGTAAGCTAGAACACTTGCTAAATTTTCCTCCAACTAAAGAGACGTGAGCTTTTATTTTACTGAAAAGCAGTGGTAATTCTAGATGGAACCACCACTCTTGAGTGGAAGAAAGAATTCCAAAGCAGGCAAAAATTAGCAAAAAAAAAAAAAAAAAAAAAAAAAAAAAAAAAAAAAAGAGAGAGAGAGAAAGAAAAAAAAAATCAGCCACAATTTTGGATTGTATTTACAGAAGTCTCTAGAAGGCAATGTTTTCCTGAGGATAACCAAGCCTCCTTTAAATGGTAAAGGCTGTAAAATGTTGGTAGATCCTGAACACTAGTGGTCTGAGATTTCAGTCAAGACCCTGTAAGATTTATAAGCTTAAAATCATTTTTCTAGAATATACCAAAGCCAATGATGCAGAACAATTTAAACTACACATCCCCGACACTGGCAACAAATTTCAGGAAAATAAAAGTTTAAAGGGACCAGCTGATGGGGACCTATACTTTCTATACAATTAGCTGCCTTTAAAGAAGGGGTGTATAAGTAATCAACTCATTACTTTTCAGCCAGAGGATGCTTGGGTATATTTATTATGCATCATGCACTAAAAACGTAATTGGTTCTGCGAATAGAAGGAAAACGGCCAAAATTAATGTCCAATTTTCCCTACCAAAAACATAGAGAATGAGGAGAGAGAAGAAAATAATAAAATGGAGCAGTTTGTCATTTCTCCCTATCTCCTCTCCTCCAGAAAAGAAACACCACAGGGTTTGGGAAAATAATTTTAAAGCATTCTCTAGGTCCAAAAAGCAGTTTATGTTCCACCAGGAAGTGTGTTTTCATTACCTCTTTCCCCCTTGCCCTCTCATTAATATCTCCCTGGACCACGTTCAGCTTGCCCAAAACCTTTATTTACAAAAACCGCCTTGTGAATTGACCGTGCTCATGGTGAGCTGAGCACCGAGGGCGAATATGTGAGACATTTATGCCAACAGGGAAATGTTCTTAATTAACATCATCCCCAAAATACAGCTTCTTACCTATGTCTGACAAGAACATATCCTTAAGTTATACTTCCCTATGCCTTTTAAGAGCTATTAATTTTTGAAGGCCACCACCTGTCTATTTGGCTTCCAACATTAAGGAAACATGTACCAGTTGGTTCCTACTGGTGCCCTACTACATCCTGTGACCCAAAATGAACATCTTCCCTCTCCCATCCTGCAAAAGGTGTGGTAAACAGAAGACTGATCTACAAGGCACAACACATACCATCTTGTAAACACGTCCGCCAAGTGTCTCTCCAGCCTTCCTCCCTAGCACCTCTGAATTTACGTCACCTTGCACCCGATAGGACAGTACCGTGAGATCTTGCCTGTATTTCCTACGTGCCCTTTGCACTACATTTTCCATCTTGTCTCCACATCCCTGAATTCTCACGATGCATGCTGGTTTAGTTGCAACAATCATTTTTTCTACTTAAGTCAGGGAAAGAAATGGTATAAAACCAGCAACAAACTTAGGACGTAATCTGCAGAAAAACTAGACTTTTTACATGGGAGGGGGTGGGGAAGAGATCAACCATGTTCTTCCTAGCACATTTCTTTTCTTCCTTTTTTTTTTAAACTTTTTTTGGCTCTCAAGTATGACTGTAAAATGGCTTTGCCTCTAAATTGAAAGGGGTATCTCAAAATATTTACGTGACTTATCCATCGTTCTTAACTCTGCCCTACAGATTCACTTCATTACAATTCATACCATAAAAAATCTAAGTATTTATATGGACTGGCATTCCTTAAAGAGGCTTGAAATGCCTCATCAATGGTGACTGGTTAATTTGAAATAAGAAATTAAACTTCTATTTTTAAAACAGTATTCTAGGTAGCTTTCCATACCGTTAAGTCAAAAAAAAAAGTGTTCAGATTCTCATGTATTAACATTTACTTAATAAAGAAACAGAAAATACATTTAAACTTATCCCATAAATTTGAGTAAGGGAAAATGATAAAAATCAGCACTAAAATACAGCAGTATAATTTTAAATGGTTAAAAGTTTTCAAATATTAGTCATTTTCCCCACACACAGCATTAAGAAATGCATTACAGAAGACAAAGAAGCCTAATATTTTTTCCTGAGACTTTTGAAGCTTGCTAAATTCCTATTTGCAGATAAATGTTGTTTTTTTTGTGATCCTTACAACAGACATTAATGAAGTTCCTATTGTAAATCCATAAAGAATTACCAAGTGAAGTGTGCACTTTTTGTTTCAATGCAATAACTCAGTGCTGTGTGATTGCCTGGGTTAATGATGAAAAAGTCAAACATACTATCAGAGCTGATGGAAAAATCTATCACCAATCTGAAATTAAAATTCATCTGTGGTCAATAAGATTTAATATCCATGCAAGTGGCGCTGTAAAGAGTAAATGAATCAATGTCATCAATACATAATCAGTATGAAATATGATGTGAATAAAATTATGCACACGAGTCATACATTTCACTCTTTTCTGGGCCAGTGTGGAATGAACAGTCTCTTAACTGAAGGTTGACAGTAATTGTTACAAATTAGGCACAGCAGTTATCAAAATGCACTCACTTGCATAGCTATAGGACTTATTAAGGAGATTAAAATAGATCTAAAACTATCCAGTACTGGGGGGGCTGGACAACTGTTGATCGCCATTTTTCCTCTGAAGTGATTTGAACAACTGTATAAAATTTCCTCACTTTTAACTCTGGTCCAAAAACTTTCCAGTTGTGGATCAAGAATCGAGATACGTAATCTTTAATGGAGCTACTAGTAGCCCAAAGCGATTAGCAAAGACCCAGAACTGTGTTTTAAAAGTCGTAACTGATTCAAATTTTATGGGACTACTGATCAACAAAAACGCCCTCCTCTGAAACTACAGCAATGTTTGTGAAACTGCTTTTCTCAAAATGAAC